CCTTCCACATAAATAAAGCTTGTATGGTATACCTTCCACTTAATTAAAGCTTGCATGGTATACCTTCCACATAAATAAAGCTTGCATGGTGTATCTTCCACATACATAAAGCTTGAATGGTATACCTTCCACATAAATAAAGCTTGTATGGTGTACCTTCCACATAAATAAAGCTTGTATGGTGTACCTTCCACATAAATAAAGCTTGTATGGTGTATCTTCCACATAAATATGGCTTGTATGGTATACCTTCCACATAAATAAAGCTTGCATGGTAAACCTTCCACATAAATAAAGCTTGTATGGTATACCTTCCACATAAATAAAGCTTGTATGGTGTACCTTCCACATAAATAAAGCTTGTATGGTGTACCTTCCACATATATAAAGCTTGTATGGTATACCTTCCACATAAATAAAGCTTGCATGGTATACCTTCCACATAAATAGAGCTGTATGGTATACATTCCACATAAATAAAGCTTGTATGGTATACCTTCCACATAAATAATGCTTGCATTGTATACCTTCCACATAAATAAAGCTTGCATGGTATACCTTCCACATAAATAAAGCTTGTATGGTATACCTTCAACATAAATAAAGCTTGTATGGTATACCTTCCACATAAATAAAGCTTGCATGGTATACCTTCCACATAAATAAAGCTTGTATGGTGTACCTTCCACATAAATAAAGCTTGTATGATATACCTTCCACATAAATAAAGCTTGTATGGTATACCTTCCACATAAATAAAGCTTGTATGGTATACCTTCCACATAAATAAAGCTTGCATGGTATACCTTCCACATAAATAAAGCTTGTATGGTATACCTTCCACATAAATAAAGCTTGTATGGTATACCTTCCACATAAATAAAGCTTGTATGGTATACCTTCCACATAAATAAAGCTTGTATGGTGTACCTTCCACATAAATAAAGCTTGTATGGTATACCTTCCACATAAATAAAGCTTGTATGGTATACCATCCACATAAATAAAGCTTGTATGGTATACCTTCCACATAAATAAAGCTTGCCTTTATAGTATCATAAGCTTTATAACCATTTATATAATCACTTGTTCAAGGACTGCTGTGGCTAAAATCAGGTAACTGATGAGGGTATTTGCAATTTGCAAATGAAAGAAAGAAAAGCCTTAATAAATTTTACTTTAAATATTCAAAAGCTAACGCATTGTTTTCTACCAAATATAAGTGGACGGTTCCAAGTGATAAAAGTTGAGATTGTTTTCTGGATAAAATTCACTCTAGCACACTTCATGGCATTGCTTATTTATGTCTGCAATAAATTCTAGCACAAAATTAATGTTTTTTGTATTACTATTTTACCATATTTTTTAGCGAGTTTCTCCATTTAAACTTCTGTTATTGAGTGAAATATTAATTATTGGATTTCATATTAGCTATGGCAAGTTAATTATCGAACATTAGCACTAACCCATTATTCCTTGCATAATTTACTTTCAATGGTATCGTGATAAAAATGGCAAAAGAAAAAGCAGTTTCTCTTTGTATTTAATTCAGTGTAATATTGAAGTTTTTATTACACTGTAATTATAAATTAAGTTTATTGAAGTAATGATATTTTTATGAGACTTGTTCAGAATTATGATCTCTTAATAACACTAGTTGAATGTTTGTTATTTCCAGGGAAATATGATTGATAACTACCTGTTATAAAAGTAACAAATTTCTATCTGAATAATTATTCTACAGTCACAACTGTATCTATCAGTAATAATTGTAAAGTAACAACTGCATTTATCAGTAACATGTACAGTAAGAGCAATTATAAAGTAACAGTTGTATTTATTAGTAATCATTGTAATGTAACATCTGTATATATCAGTAATAATTGTGAGGTGAATGCTGTATTTATCAGTAATAATTGTAAGATAACAACTGTATTTATAAATAACAATTGTACAGTAACAGTAATTAAAGTAACAACTATATGAATCAGTAATAATTGTAAAGTAACAGCTGTATCTATCTGTAATACTGTAATGCAGCAGAAGTATTTATCAGTAACAACTGTATCTATCTGTAATAATTGGAAAGTAACATCTGTATTTTTCAACAACATTTGTAAGTTAAGGCTTATTTTATCAGTATTATAAGTAACAACTGCATCTATCTGTAATAACTGTAATGTAACATTGTATTTATCTGTAATAACTGTAATGTAACAACTGTATCTATCAGTAATTGTAAGGTAAAAACTGTATCTACCAGTAATTGTAGGTAACAACTGTATCTATCAGTAATTGTAGGTAACAACTGTATCTACCAGTAATTTCAAGGTAACAACTGTATCTAATAGTAATTGTAGGTAACAACTGCATCTATCAGTAGTTGTAATGTAACAACTAACAACTGTATCTATCAGTAAATGTAATGTAAAAACTGCATCTGTCAGTTATTGTAAGGTAACAGCTGTATCTATCAGTCATTGTAAGGTAACAACTGTTTCTATCAGTCATTGTAAGGTAACAACTGTATCTATCAGTCACTGTAAGGTAACAACTGTATCTATCAGTGATTGTAATGTAACAACTGTATCTATCAGTAATTGTAAGGTAACAACGGTATCTACCAATAATTGTAGGTAACAACTGTATCTTTCAGTGATGATTGTAAAGTAACAACTGTATCTATCAGTAATTGTAATGTAACAACTATTTACCAGTAATTGTAATGTGACAACTGTATCTACCAGTAATTTTAAGGTAACAACTGCACCTATCAGTAATTGTAAGGTAACAACTGTATCTACCAGTAATTGTAGGTAACAACCAACTGTATCTATCAGTAAATGTAATGTAAAAACTGTATCTGTCAGTTATTGTAAGGTAACAACTGTATCTATCAGTCATTGTAAGGTAACAACTGTATCTATCAGTAATTGTAAGGTAACAACTGTATCTACCAGTAATTGTAATGTAACAACTGTATCTACCAGTAATTGTAATGTAAAAACTGTATCTGTCAGTTATTGTAAGGTAACAACTGTATCTATCAGTAATTGTAAGGTAACAACTGTATCTATCAGTAATTGTAATGTAACAACTGTATCTATCAGTAATTGTAAGGTAGCAACTGTATCTATCAGTAATTGTAATGTAACAACTGCATCTATCAGTAATTGTAAGGTAGCAACTGTATCGACCAGTAATTGTAGGGTAACAACTGTATCTATCAGTAATTGTAATATAACAACTATCTACCAGTAATTGTAACGTGACAACTGTATCTATCAGTAATTGTAAGGTAACAACTGTATCGATCGATCAGTCATTGTAATGTAACAACTGTATCTATCAATAATTGTAAGGTAACAACTGTATCTATCAGTAATTGTAGGGTAACAACTGTATCTATCAGTCATTGTAAGGTAACAACTGTATCTATCAGTAATTGTAATGTAACAACTGTATCTACCAGTAATTGTAGGTAACAACTGTATCTATCAGTGATGATTGTAAAGTAACAACTGTATCTATCAGTAATTGTAATGTAACAACTATCTACAAGTAATTATAATGTGACAACTTTATCTATCAGTAATTGTAAGGTTACAAATGCATCTATCAGTAATTGTAAGGTAACAACTGTATCTATCAGTAATTGTAAGGTAGCAACTGTATCTACCAGTAATTGTATATAACAACTGTACCGACCAGTAATTGTAGGTAACAACTGTATCTATCAGTAATTGTAAGGTAGCAACTGTATCGACCAGTAATTGTAGGTAACAACTGTATCTATCAGTCATTGTAAGGTAACAACTGTATCGACCAGTAATTGTAGGTAACAACTGTATCTATCAGTAATTGTAAGGTAACAACTGTATCTATCAGTAATTGTAATATAACAACTGTATCTATCAATCATTGTAATGTAACAACTGTATCTATCAGTAATTGTAGGTAACAACTGTATCTATCAGTAATTGTAAGGTAACAACTGTATCTACCAGTAATTGTAGGCTAAGAACTGTATCAGTAATAATTGTATATTAATAACTGTTATAGAAGTAATAATTGTATAGTAATAACAGCTGAAATAACTTTTGATAAAAAGTAACAACTGAAATCATTTTTTGGTAACTGTAACAGCTGCAATCATTTTTGATAAAAGTAACAGTTTCAGCTGTAATTATTGTTGGTTACAGTAACAGCTTCCACCATTTTGGATCAAAACAACATTAACAACCGCAATCATTTTTGATATAAGTAACAGTAACAGGTAGATATTTTTCAAGTAATTATATACAGTCATCTAATTGAAGGTGAGAATTAGTATTAAAGATCGGTCTTCATACAGATATATCAGTAATCTGAACTAATTGGTCTGGAAGAGTAAAATAGAGATAATTAGGAACTTTTGACAAATTATCTGGATGGAGTATATATCAGTAATTTGTCACCTACGGCTCCACTTTACCTTTGTAAGGTTGTCATAGAAACGAATCAAGCCAGCTCTGGGATGTGAGGAAAGATGTCTGACTATTCTATATGACTGAAGGCACATTTTCCAATAATCTTTGTAGTCAGTCTTGTACAACCTTACAAGTGTATTGGACTCGATATTGGACTAGGAAACAACAAATATACTTATAAATTGTTACAATTAAGAGACTACTTGTGTTTAAATTTTCTTATCAATCAAGTTATTCTGTGGATGTTTACCGATACCATTAACTTCTTCGTGGTAAGCCTTTTTTTCATTAATCTTATTACATGTAAATGTTAATTTCACTAATTTACATTTTTAGATTTATTTACATTTTTCTTCAAGAGATACTTAATACTTTAATACTATTTTTTAAAATGTGGCTAAGACATGTACACACTTATACCTCACAATATATTTATAAATATTTGACATTTATTTCCATTTATTTACAATAACATCTACATTTATTTACATTGAAAATAACTGAAAAAATAACTCTAATACTGTGACTGTAAAGAAAATTTGAGAAAAATTACTTTTTTCAATCAGTGGTAACAACATTGAATACCAGTCAGAAAGGCTACATGTTGTAGCTTATTTACATTTACATTTATTTACAATTACATTCAATACATGTAAAAAAAATATTGTAAATAGTTGAAAATATAAATGAAATCTTCATTTTTCTTTATTTGTTATATAGCTATATATACATGAAATAATCATAATAATAGCACATTTTTTCTTATTTTACTAAGACAAACCACATTTTGAATAATCATACTGAAAAGTGATACAGACAGAATAAATTCATTTCTATGAATTATCTAGATATTATATTAGACTGTTAGTAACCTTTCACTGATTTTAATCAGGTCACTGATGCAAATTGGAGGGGTTGACAGGAAAATAGCATCTTGTTGTTTGGATGGGACAATAAACTGAGGCCACATGTGCTTCTAGTTGGGCATATTAAAAATTCCTCAACAGTTGGAAATCAAAAAGAGAATGCTAATGCTGTTGTCCTAGCAAAATTTTCCTCGTTGCTCACTGCATGAATTGGTCCATCTAAGTGCATAAAAGTAATATGTAAAACTACATTTCATTTCATTTTCTGATTGAACAGTCAGAAGAGTTGGTAATTTCCTCACTGACAAAATCTAGAAATCTTTCAAATTAGCAGTCAGTAGGTTAATTGCATACAATAAATTATTGATATACTCATTTTCTCCATACTCAAGCAGGTTTTGTTAAGAAATTTCTTTTCCAATTAGCTGCTTCTGAAATAACAATTCAAATTCAATCTTAGAACATGAAACTAAGAGAAACTAATTCAGGGAACAGGGGTGCAGCTTTGATGAAACATTTGGCTGGTTTCCACAGTTTGTGAAACTTGTGACTGGTTTCTACAGTTTGTCAGTTTGTGAAACTTCAAGCTGGTTTTAACAGTTTGTGAAACTGTGACCGATTTCTAGTTTGTGAAATTTGGTACTGGTTTCCACAGTTTGTGAAACTTGGAACCAATTTCCTCAATTTGTGAAACTTGGTTTCTACAGTTTGTCAGTTTGTGAAACTTGTACTGGTTTCTACAGTTTGTCAGTTTGTGAAACTTGTACTGGTTTCTACAGTTTGTCAGTTTGTGAAACTTGTACTGGTTTCTACAGTTTGTCAGTTTGTGAAACTTGTACTGGTTTCAACAGTTTGCGAAACTGTGACCGATTTCTAGTTTGTGAAACTTGTACTGGTTTCTACAGTTTGTCAGTTTGTGAAACTTGTACTGGTTTCCACAGTTTGTAAAACCTGGTTCCAAGTTAAATGATCTAAGATTTTAAAACAATTGGAAAAGTAGACTGCATTGCCTTCTCCGCCTCCTTCATAATATCCTCTGTCCTCTGCAAAGTACAGCATGAGAATTTACATTAATAACAAGATTTTAGTTTTATAGCAAAAAAGAAAAAAAAAGTTTCATGTTGTGTTTTGGAAGACATAAAATAATTTCATTTCAAAACGTTTCATGTTTTGGTACGCATGAAATAATTTCATTTTAAAAAGTTTCATGTTTTGGAACACATGAAATAATTTCATTTTAAAAAGTTTCATGTTTTGGAACTTCATTTTAAAAAGTTTCATGTTTTGGAAGACATGAAATAATTTCATTTTAAAAAGTTTCATGTTTTGGAACACATGAAATAATTTCATTTTAAAAAGTTTCATGTTTCATGTTTTGGAAGACATTTCATTTTATAAAGTTTCATGTTTGTGTTTTGGCAGTAACATTTCAAAAACTAAATTTCCAGTTTTTGTTGAAATGAAATTTCAGAACTGCTCTCCTTGAAATGAATCAGTAAAATTTGATTTCCCAACAATAGTTTGAAGACAGTAATCCTACACATGGTTTCAATGATAAGGTATATCTCCATATTCTCCTAATAAAGCTCATTCATTAGTTTATTCTATACTAATTTGGCTAATATATGACCATACCATAAACTCAAATGACCTTTTTTGCTCATCAGATAAGATCAAGAATGTATTATGTCTCTGAGCAGTAAAGAATTAAAGACATGCTAATTGCAGGTTTATAGCAGTGATTTATAGTTTGATGTAGTTATAAACAAGACTATCTACTAATAAAAGGATTTTCTTCTAATGAAGTCCGGCTCTGGTCTTTTGGTTAATGGTTAACTTTGAAATCAGACTAAAGTGAGTTTACCCCCTATCCCCTATAAATCCTCACTTTTGTGATTTTCTCTTAGGTTTTACCTACAATCTTTTTCATGTTGGGTAATATAGCCTGACTGAATAGAACAACTTACATGCTAATTTATGTCCATCATATATAACCCCCCCCCCCCCCTCCCCCCACAGAAAAATAGCCATTAATGAAAATTCAATTCATTCATTCAATTGATCACTATAATTCATAAATATAAATCAGTAAATGAATATATAATAGTGATATCAATAAGGCAATTGGCCGACAATAATCTCTGGAATTATCTGGGTATCTATATATTGCACACTGGAGGCACTATAGAGGGAACATTAACGTGCACAGCCTGTAACACACAGGGCCTCGGTTTATCGACCCCTGCAATGCCTTGGAGAGTGTAATGCAAGAAGTTCATGACAATCACATTAGCCTGCTCTTTTGTTGGAGTAATCCACTCTCTTAGATCTAAGATCGCTTGACTCTAACTTCTTGTTGTATAAGTGAACAATTTTACTTTATATATAAAAAAGACTGGGGAGGAAGTCTGTCTTTCATGTATCATGTTGGATACGTCAGATGTCTGCTCTTGTTGATCGTTGATCCAATAAAATAAATTAAACTTGGTTGTATTAGAAAAATTTTGCTTTTGTATATAAAAAAAAAATCCATCAGATGTTTGCGCTTGTTGATCATTGATCCAATGAAATACATTGTAAATTAGGTTGTGTAAGTGGAAAATCAACTTTAAAAAATGGCATTCTTCTATTGTCTGTAGTATTGACAATCATGTTTGATGAACATGACATTGTAGAGAAGATGATAATCATGATACCAGTAATCAATTATTTACACTATTTCACATCTTCTATTACCAGACAATTACCATTATTCTAACTTCCTTAATATAGGGCAGAAAATTACAATAATTACTATTTCATAACCCACTTAATATATCACACAATATACAATATATTTCCTAAATATAGTGCTAATAACTTACAAACATTGCTATTTTATTTATAACTGAAAGAACCACATAAAATACAATGTATATCTTCCCTTATATAAGGCAAAAATTACAATAATTACTATTTTATATTTAAGATAATGTACCACATAATATACAATATATACTTTGCTAAATATAGGGCAAACAATTGAAATAATAGCTATTTTATACTTAACATAATGTACCACATAATATACAATATATACTTTCCTAAATATAGGGCAAAAAGTACAATAATTACTTTCTTATACCTTAT